GCAGCGGTCGGTCGGTCGGTCGGTCGCTGCGATCACACTGCCTCATTACCGGCAAAGAGGAAGAGTACATAACACGCAGCAGTGCTGAACATCCTGAATGATAAAAGCATTATTTGCATTATACTTGATGCTCCTGCAGGTTTAAGGCCTAATAAGTCTCCCAGGGAAGTTTGAAGCAAAACTCTTACTGGCTTCCATAAAGCCGGATCAGACCACCGGTGCCCATGAGCTTATTTAAGCAAGGAGTTCTTGCACAACGTCTTCTAACAAGATCGACAGGACTGGTTTAAATTCAAATGCTGCATTACTCTCACACAAACCCAAAGTAACTTGATTAATTTAATGGGGTTATTCCTCTTTGATACTGTCAACAAAAGCAGTATTTGAAACCATTTTCTCCCTTATTTAATTCTACTGTATGAACAAAACAGTTCTTCAAACAATTTCTTTGGATTTTACTTCCTCACAGTATTGCTTTTATTTCCCCCAACTTCCTATCTCATTTATTTTTTAACCTAGCAATATTTTAACTGTTTTTTCTATTTCTTAGAAGTTTCTGATTAGTTCTTTTTTAGCCTAATTTATTTTTATTTGAATTTCATTCAGTGGGTAGTTAGTGTTTGCTTTCCAATTTGCGTACAGCCTGTTAGGATTTTTCTACTTGCTACTTATCTGTTACAATTTCCGTGCTAAGAACTTCAAAGCTATTATTTTAAGTGTCTCCAAACTTATGAGCCATTTAACGTGTTCTACTGGCCTATCATTTTTTTTCTCACTATTAGTCACAATTGCTGGGTTATGAAGACACAAATTGCTGTGGATGTCTCCTGCTAGGCCTGTTTAAATCAAACAGGCAAGATACATGTAAAGGAATTTGAAGAAACCACTAAAAAAATTAATTGTCTATTTGCTTTTGTGTTATATCAAAAAACTGAAAGGGGTCAAACTTATATTACACCGAATAAAGATACTGAGGGAGTCTCCTGCTATTCAGGAAGTTTAAACTATATACGGTTTAAAATCTACTGAAGACACTTATCTATTCAGTTGTGCAAAATGTAAGTTGCATGAACTATTCAAAGAAAAACTGATTTAGGTCACGAGAGCTACATTCAAAAGATCAGGATATTATTAACAGTTCAAGACAATCACTTTAAACAAAGCTCTTGCAAGATTTCAGCATTTTGCAGCCTGCTTCCTCTTTATGCATCTACCCTAGTAGGAGATTGAAAAAAACACAATAAAAGACGAAAATTTTCCTTTTAGCAGACGCCAAACAAGCTGGGATATTAGCTGGGGGGGGGGGGGGGGGGGGATATATTATAAGTTTGACAACTGCATTCAAAAAGCTTAATTATTAAAGCAATCTACATGGCACCACAATAGAAAGCATCTTGAATAATTACAGATCAAAGCCAGACACTACTGCACAATACTCAATTCTTGTCTTTTCTTGAAGCATGCTATAAATAAATAAAAGTAAGCACAAACTAAATTTGGTCATGGTCTTTGTTAGCAGTGCAATGGAGACAATAATTCTTCCAACTGCAGACAAAACATATTATCATGTAAATTAGAAAGAAAACTGCTATCACAGTGTAGTTAAAAGAAAAGTAAAACAGAAAATATAGCGTTTATCAGTGCGAGAGACCTGTGATTATCTTCAAAAATCAATGGTTTAAAATCTACTGAAGACACTTATCTATTCAGTTGTGCAAAATGTAAGTTGCATGAACTTTTTTATTTGCTGGGATACCATACTGCCTCTATTTTTAAACAAGAAGGCTATCACTACCATCCTCTTCATCTACTTCCTCATAAATTCATCAGCTAAATAGTCTCAGAGAAACCAGTACAAGATGTTTTCTAATACATCAGGTCCAAAGCTTATCGATTAGCTTTTTGTAAATCTTCCTCTTACCACAGTAGGAATAATCTGACAAAGCAAAATAAAACATAAGTTATTAAAAATACAGTGTGTAGACCACAACAACCGCATCTGGCCTATGGCCACCTTGATAAAACGATTATGAGGCCCCCTAATTCTCTTTTCCCATAGGCAACTCATCCATTCTGTCTGCTGCCAAGTCTTTAAATCTCCACACCCTCCAGACTGTACCCAGGTCCCGTCCAGGTTGACATAGGCTGACATACCTCAAAGCCATATCAAGGAAGGGGTCAAGAATTAAACAGTATAGAGTGTTACAGGATTGTACCTTGCTCTGCGCGGTGGGCCTCTTTTATTATGATAGATGTAGCCTTTGCAGACTTCAAAATTCCCTTTCCTCTGATATCAGCAACTAAATAATGAGAACTACTTCATCAGACAAGCACAGGACATACAGACTCTGTTTTAGGAGCAGAAGGTTTGCCTCTTCTGTACTATTTTTCCAGATGCACACAGAGGTCATCATGAGGCCAAAAAGGAAGGGAAAAGCCTCTTCTTGCTGCTATTGTTTAATCTGTGCTGCAGCGGTCAAGGGAAAGGTGACTGACACTTTCTCCCTACATCCTTCTTCCAGCAGTATACAAAGCATTCAGAAAATGCAGCATTCATTTTGCTGTGCTATCCAAACTATATATAATGAGGCTTATAGATTTTTGTGAGATTAAATAGTGATTTTGCTCTCTAAATAAAACTAGTCAGTGCCTGTAGGTTTTGTTTCTTCTCTTTCTCTCTCTTTTTCTTTCTTCCTTTCCTCCTCCCCCCCCCCTTTTTTTTGGGTGTCTGCCCCATACTGCTATTACGTAGACCTAGGTTTCAGTTGAATGTGTTACAGAAGCAAAATTACTAAACATTTATGTTTTAAATTACAGCCTATAGCTGAGAATCTGGGTACGCCAGCTCTCAGGGCAAAGCAAGACAAAAAAAAGCTCATCAGCCTGAAGAAAAGGAGGTCTCAGAGCACATCTCTCACGTGCATACCCTCACTTCCTCCTGGAAAAAGTCAGTGTCTTTTATGTTAAACCAACAATGGCTGAACTTGAGTACTGTTCTGTGGGAATATTAGCATGTTAAATGTGATTTTTGAGTTTTTTTGATTTTTTTGATTTTTGAGTTTCTTAAAGAGGATGAAAGGAAATACAACACCACCTGCTAGAATTACAAGCTAAAAGCCACTCTCCTATGTTCATTCTCCCGCATGCCAATGCCTTTGAACTGGACTTTTGCCTTGCTACAGTCCAAGCAGCAAGAGAGTGATCCTGACTCTCAAAGCTGCTAGGCAACAGCTTGATGTTTGTTCTCCTGAGAAGTGGATGCTTTTGCAGCTTACCAATAAACAATCTCAACTGGTAAGAATTTAATGAAAGTTAATAAACACAATTTTCTAGATTACTATTCACAGAAAGCTATCTCAGAGCTTGCTGCAGGAAGAAGCCTTCGATCAAGACAATCGTGAGGGATTTAAGATGCCTTAGCAGTTGCATGTAGGATTTGACCCATTTAAAAAAAAAAAAAAAAAAAGGAAGAACATGTGAACTATCCAAAGATTCAATCACCAAATGAGGGCAAGCAGACAACCATTTCTCCCGTGATAACCACAGATACTAACAGTTATATACAGATTATAAATCATTGCAAGACTGAATAGCACCTTCATAAAACATACCAGTATATCCTAAAGTAGTGATTTTGCAGTGTTAGCTTTTGTTTCTCCATCTTCTGAATGGAAATTGTCACGACAATGACAACATTTCAAAGATTCACCTGACTTCAAACTTAATTTGTTCCACTGACATCAAAGGGGCTTTTCATAATCACAGGAGCCTCTCTATCAGGAGTAGCTGGTAGGACTTGAACTTAAGGTCTTGAACAAAAACCTGAATGGAGTCAGGGTTACAGACACTCACAAATAAAACTATAAATATAGGGCATTTTAAATATAGGTCATTAATTTTAGTTATGAAATTCAAAATTCTTCAGAAATGTCATCTGGCAGGTCTATCACAGTAGGCAGACCCTTTAGATAATGCCAGTATTTTCCCCATCTGTTTGGCCACAAGAGTGTAGATGCATGCACACATATTCAAGAACAAACTACTAGTCTTTCCTCCTTTCTTTAATAAAGCAAAACAGTCAGTGTCTACCAAGATTCTCATTAAACAACCATGTGGCTGATATGTTTTGCTTATTTTAAGCTGGAGTGTATTGTGAACAACAGTTTACAAAAGGAAAAATGGTTCTGGAATAACAAATTGGTAAATGGTTATTACAGAGTAATAAGTTGGAGTTTCTCTAGTTTCTCTCTGTTCCTGTCTGTCTGAAGATGCTCAGAAAAAAATATATTAGTTTTCCCTTCCTTCTCCCTGTACCCAGCTTTTCTTCTTCTCCCGCCTCCTGCTAGTCAGAATGGAAACCACCAGGTACACTAGGTATCGTGTCAGCAACGTGCTTCCTTAAAATCAACACTGCTTACGTTCCAGCTCCTCAGTAGCTCCTTCGTGTAACATCACAAAATGGATTCATAATCCTGTAGTTTTTATCTGTATTACAATTCGACACAGAAACTATTGCGACTGTTGCTGGTTTTGGTATTGTTATAGCAATCAGGAGGTTATGTTCCTGTAGAACCAGATTTTATGCAGGCAATAATAAGAGACTGTCCTTGCCTTAACTGCATGTATAAAGAATATGGGAAACATCGTAGTGTTTGGCCTCGTATGACATCCACCCAGACATTTGTGCATGTTTCCCAGCTCCGGCTATTTATACTTCACCTAGCAAACTCTGTCTCATCCGCTGACTGGAGAAGCTGCTATGTAGTCAGACTCCCCCTGAATAGTAAGTAGTAATAACTCTAAATACATAATTCAACAAAGCTAAACTTGGATGGATAGGCTCCATTATAATAATTTGTGTGTGTGAGGAGGATTTTATACAGCTATGGGGTTTTTTTTATTCTACAATGAGACAAAACCTATGGCTTTTTAGAAAATTGTTTGAAAAACAAAATAAGCATTCACAAACACAGAAGAAAATGCGTTATTTCCTGTCAAACCTGATGCAAGATTCGAGCTTGGATCTTCAACAGTCTGGACCTCACACTGTTTGGTCAGTTTTGGCAATATTGTGGCAATAACACTCATGTGCAATATCTCCACAAAGTTTATGTTTTGACTTTTTGACATTTTCTCATGAAACTCCATTCGAAAGAACTGAATGAAAGAATTTTTGATCAGCTTTAACACAAACATTTCGACTGAGCCTACTATTTTACAGTTGTTTGCACAATGTTTCTATATCTGCAGATCTACAACTTGTGAATTTTTAACTCTCCACTGCCATGCGTTGAGTACATAATGAGGATATATTCCACGTAACTGTGTGATACATGACGCACAAAATTGTCTTTGTGAAAAGTGCCAGGAAAGCATACTCTACATGGTGACCATTTCTGGGTCTGTTGCTGTCGGGACTTAAGCAAGAAGACGAAGCAAATAATCCAGTACACAGATCCTGTTCAGTATATACTGTCAAGCCACCAACACCGATAGAAACTTGTTACAGTGAAAGAGACGCTGTCACTTCTCATTGTCAAGGCAAGAAGTAGTAGGTGTGAAAGAACATTCTTCTCCCTCCAGGGCTTTCCCAGGATTTTGTGATTAGCATGTTAAAAATGTGGAGAAGTCATAATAATTTTAGCTTCTAAATACGAAAGGCATTAAGAAGCCAGTACCTATATTTTTACTTTATTTTATTGTGAAGCTCAGAACTTTTTCTAACAAAATTTTAGCCCAGGATTCTGACAGATTATACTTGGTCAATGCTAATAACTACCCAGGAGATCAACTTGAGGCATTCTTGCAAGATATTCAAATTACCTGTAAGGTGTTTTCTGCCTATATAGCAATAACTTTGCTTATGGACACATTAGCTCAAAATCACCAGTGTTAATATAAAAATTAAGCCAGTTTCCATAACATAATGCCATAAATTTTTAAGCCACGCACAGGCAATACACAATCACATTATTGACGTAATGTGTCTGCCAGTTTTAGAATAGCTGGAACAGCTCATTTCCATTTTTTAATCATTTACACATGAGACTAAAAACAATCTGACTACAGAATTTGAGATAGATATTTATTATAGTTTAAAAAAGTATGACAGGCTATATTTTTATGTTCAATGGCAAAAAAAATTCTAATATTATTACATGCAGCAAGTGCTGACTGTACATGACAGACTGTTATGAGCTAGTTGTTTCTCTCTACTTCATGACCAACGGCATTAAACAATAGCAACAACAACAAAATACGCTTTTAGAGAATGCAACCGACATGTTATAGCTACTCAGCTAAGGCATCAATAAGTCACAGCCTGATGAATTAACCTAAGGTATAAATAGGATGCTGATTTCAGCGGCAAAAACGAGAACTCCTTTTCAGTGTGCAATACAAATCCTTAATTTTTTTCCCCTTTCAAAACCTAGACCTACACATGCACTCTCTATACATATATATGCCTTGGTTTTCCTTTGTCTCCATACGAAAATAAAGCAGGAGAAATCTCATTAAAGTAACTGGCCTGATACTGTCCCTTCTCTCAGTCCTTACAGAGGAAATAATAACTACAGTTAGTGTAACTAAAGCCAGTACCTGGCCAAGTGCAGAAACACCTGGAGCAAAGTTCAGGTTACGACTCCAGTTCACTACGACAGATGAGCAACTCCCTCCCTTTTGCATGGGTATTGCACACCGTCATCTAAGGGTTTTGGCAGTTGCGATAGGACAGGAATTTCATTTCCTACAGATCACCTACATGAGGGCGATATCCTGACGTAGCACAGGTTTCCATTGCAGAATCGCAGCAGAGACACAGTAAGGGTCTTCCTCTGATAAGGCAGTTGGGGAATGTTAATAGACTTGTTGATAACCACAGACTGCATCTTAGTTATGAAGATCTCAGCACTTTCTGGAAGAAAAACTATTTTGCATGGCAGCTACTCCCTACTTGATTCACTATTCTTCCTCTTCTAGCTCAAGCATGCTGCTGTCTCTCCATACTTGTACCTAAGTGATTTATTCAGTACCCTCCCAAAGTACTTTCCAGCCAGAAGGTTAAACTGGAGAAAATATTAATCAGACAATCCCTATATATTTCTTATGTCATGAGTCAAGAGAATCTTTTCACCCGTAACTAGCCCTTTCATATCCAGCCCTTTCAAGAATCTCAGTTTTTCTTCAAGCACATAGAAATAAAAAGGGATGTTAAAAAATAAAAATAAAAATCAGAAGATAGTAAAAGATAACATCAGATAAGCCCAGCTCCGCACACCAACAGATTTTCAGCCATTTAACAGATTTGCTGTTATTATCACCCTCTCCATTGCAAAAATCAAAAAGGATTATCTGGCCCACAATTAGGAAAGGACTGTGTTTGCTTCTTGCAATCAGATCATGCTGTTCTCTGTTCCTTTAAAAGGTCAGTGAAGATTACCAAAAAAAAGAAAAAGAAAAAAAATACGCAACCTGGTTACACAGCTGCTGCTGGGAAAAGTCATCATTAACAAATAGTAGTTTTTCTGAGGTCTTGAGTTGGCATGATTATGAATGCTGTTAAAATACAATATAAAGCTGCATATAATGCTCATACAGTCTGATGTGTTTTATTTCTTTTAATTAAATGTTGCTTAATGTACCTCATACACAGAGTCAGCATAAATCCCTACTTGGAGCATGGAAAACAGTAATTCTTCCTTAAACTTGTGAAAAAATTATCATTACTACACTTCAGTTTGGAGGGAAAAAAAAAACCTCCGTCTAAGTATGTGTTGATGTTCCTAGTAACTAACGGCTGCTATAACAAAAACAGATGTGGAAAGAATTGTTAGCCTTTGATTATATTAAATTAAAAGATGATGACCTTGCTGAGAAATCTGTTAAATGAAAAATCACACTTTGTGTGTAAAGAATGTGTATTGTCAGAGCAGTCAAAAATTACTTGTTTAATATCATTATATAATACAAACAAACAAATAAATTACTAGGCTAATTTTGAAACAATTTAACTCATTTACTATCTGAATAATAAAACCTCTGAATTTTACCAGGAACAGCATCACACTGCAAGACATAATAAGGCACTTTAATAGCATCTAAATATTTATATGGCTTCCAGGAAAGTATGAATGCTGGATTTCTATTTAAGCTATTTAAATGAGGGCTTAGAGGATGCAAATCCAACTTCTGACTTTCGTTTAGGCTACAGGCACTTCAAGTTATTAGTTTTCTCCGATTTCAATTCTTCACAGAGTAGCCAGTATACAAGCAAACCACTGCAACCTCTCCAAAATTAAATTTACCATTAATATAGTAAGGGCTGAAAATTGACATTCTACAAGTAATTGCATGTTCAGTCAGGTCCAAAAACATACAGGCTACAACTGAAGTTATGAACAATCATAGTAATTCATGATGAAATATGATTAATATGAGGAAGAAAGGCAATTTAAGATGAAATGCCTGTCTCTCTAGGATTGCCATGAAAGCCTCAAATGTGAGATGAAAGCATGGTATTAACTATATTAAGTTATTTAAACTACTTCATATGAGCTCCGAACCCCTGGAATTCTATACAACAGTCCTAGCTGTGATTTGTGCATACTCCTACAGAACTTCTTTTCCACATAGTAGCTGCTACCTGTTTGGGATTTTTTTGTCTTGTTTTTTGAAGTGACAAGCAAATATGCATGAAAAAAAACCCAACTGCGTTACCCATTACATATTAATGGTTTTCACTGAAAATCCACAATTTCTGCAATATGGAGGCTACTAATTTTAAAATGCCATGTCTTTTACGGTCAGCCCACTACCAACCAACCTGCAAGATAGGCTTGAATAGAAATACCATATCCTTTTCTTCTCAGTCCACATACTGAATAAATATTTCCAGAACAGATTATCATATATATATATATATAAAAAATATACACATATACACACACACACACACAGTATTCTCTACATACATGGTGCTACCAATAAAAGTATTATGAAAGTATTAATATGGTTGATATAAACCTAATTTTTGGACAAGGCCTACTTTAATTGTCCCTTTATTCCAAGTCTCTTAAGATAGTCCTTTTAATTACAGGACAATAGTGTAGTTGTCCTACTATGTTGAACACAGCAGTATCAGCTTAAAAAAAAATTCCATCACATTAAAGCTACATCCTGAGAAAATGCAACCATCAAATAAACAAACAGCAAAAAAGATGATTTCCAAATAACAGTGTGAAAACACTGAAACAGGGATGTAACTTGATTCTTCCTCAGGCAAGACACTGAAAGCACTCTGTGGCTGTGGACTGGACCTTCCACATCTGGTTCCCCCCAGAATGGTCACCAAGTATGTATGTCCAAAATTTTATAGTTTAAGTACTTTCTCTGAAAACTTCAATATTGCAAGCAAGCAATTTGGTGAGCCTCTCCAGTTTGTTAGTTTCATTTTTTTAAATTAAGTTTATAGCTTACTTGTGAATTTGGAAAACAAGAGGATCATAACCAGAATTGACAAACTAAAAAACAAAAACCATCAATGGCAAATCAAGAGTCCTGCTTTTAAATATAAAAACAGAAGTTCATGACTTGAGTCACGATCTGAAAGAACGTATGAATTTTCAAAAACTTTAATACCACTCTACTAAAATTCTAGCGTTTCTGAAACATTGGTGGTGTATATAATGGATTATATATAGATTGGACTTTTCTAGCGCCAATTAAGCTTACAAAGAAGCAGCAATATCACAGTTGTGATAGATTCATTATCAGCATACCAAAGGGGCAAAGAAAAAAGAACACTTAAGAACACTTAAGATTACAATATCCCAACTTCTCCCAGAGACAAAAAAATCCTTTTGAAATTTGCTTGTCGTATTGGCTTAATCCCAAGCAGTCAAACAATCAACTTCCCAAACAATATAATTTATCTAATGGGAGCCAGCTTTTCTACCCCCATTAAGTAATAGCTTCAGGGAATGGTATACAGAATAAGTCATAGTAACAAGCAAGCAATAAACATTCACAACAGGGAGACTTTCCTGGGTGCCTGCTTCTTGATAATTACAACAAACCAGCAATAAAATTTTTACAATAATGATTTTAAAAATTTACAGGTCATATGAAACATGCAGCGCAAATACGTTACTGAAACT